AATAATAGAAGGGCAATTTCTTCTTTGGGCCAAGATGTAGTAACAGAAACTAGACTTGATTCTCACCTGAAGCAATTAAAATCTTGGAAAAATATAAAAATCAATTGTTTTCAGACACTGGACATTATCAATGTGGGACAGTAAATTCTCTGAGAAAGAAAAAACAGATGAATTGAGACCTCTGATTTCCCATCTGATCACCTAATGAGTGTTTCCAGGCTACGATGCAAGGAGGTGAAATGCAGGCAGAGACTGGTGGTCCTCCTGAATTGAGGAGATGGTATTAGGAGTCCAAGAAGCCAAGGCAGCTGGAGTTGATAGGGCAGATTATCAGTGATAAGAGAGCTTCACAGAGAGAAGGCTCTAAAGATCGCCAAGTGTTTTCAAATAACTACATCCTAGCATAAAGTTCAAAGATATTTATAGGAAGACAAAATACCCAGTACCCCTAAAGCAAATTCACAATGTCTTGCATCCAATTAATAATAATCAGCCTTGCAAAGAAGCATGAAACTAGAGCCCATAATAAGAAAACTCCATCAACAGAAACAGGTCCTAAAATGGCTCAGAAGATTGAATTAGTATAGAACAACATTAAAATAGTTACTATAAATATATGCTTTATCTTCAAGAAGGTAGAGTATGCTAAGAAGGTGGAAGAAAACATGTGAAGACCCTACGGATACATTTTTAAAAGACCCAAATTGAACAGGGAAAGGTATAGCCTACAAGGCTGAAGTGAGTGTATATTAGATAGCACTCACAGCAGACTAGATATTGCAGCAGAAAGTTTTAGTGAACTTGAACACACAGGAATATAAATCATTCAAAATAAAATAAAATTTTAACCAAAAATGGGAGGAAAATGAATAGTGAATGAGTGAGCTGTGGGAAATTTTCATTCAGCCCAATATGCATGTAATTGGAGTCCTTGAATGAGAGAAGAATGAGTGAATAAAAATAGTATTTAAAGAAATAATAGCCAAAATCTTTTAAAATTTGGTGAAAACAATAAATAGATCTAAAAAGCTGAAAGAATCCAAATTAAAATAATCAGTATAATAGGTTATAATATGCTATATTAAATAATATGCTATATTAGATGTAGCATATTATATGCATAGTATATATTTTGTAGGCTATAGCTCTAATATCACAACCTAATATTAGGTTATAATATGCTTTATGTATGCTCTTTGTAGAGCATATTATAACCTAATTGCTTAAGACAGATCATAAAGAGAAAAATTTTGAAACCACAAGTGATAAAAGACACATTATATAGAGGAGCAAAGATAAGAATGACAGCAGACTTCTCATCAGAAACAATACAAACCGGAAGGCAGTGGAACAAAACTGGGGCTAGAGGGTTGGTGGACAAAATAACTATTAATCAAGAATTTTATATCCTGCAAGAAATATTTTTTCAGACGCACAGAAGCTGAAAGAATTCAACACTGGTAGATGTATATAGTACAAGAAATTTTAAAAGTTTTTCAGTCAGAAGAAAAGTGATACTAAATAGAAATCTGAATTTACACAGAGGAATAAAAAATGCAAGTAATAGCTTCTATTTTCTGCTTCATTGATTAATAGAGACTGATGTAGCACATAGCCCATCATCTCTGTGTCTTCCACTCTTCAACCCAATCATGAAATCTTCTTTTTCTAAACTTACTTGGGAAACTTGCATGAGGTGGTTGAGAAAGTGGATTGGATGTTAACATTGGACCTTCTGAAATATATGAAGAAAAATATACCTTTCTTCAGAGACCTTTGCTACTTTATGATGAAAGCAGTGTTGAAACTTTCCATTTTATGTGTGTACTGAAGCATTTCATTGCTCACTAATCTTGGGTACACCACAAAAGGGTACTCTTCTACCAAAAAGATCTGCATAATAAGATAGCTTCTAATTTGGACACAGGAGTTTATAGTCTGCTATAGTAGCCAAGGTATATAGGAAAACTATTTACCTATGTTATAGCACCTAGCTCTACCCACTTGAGAAATGTTTTTCTTGTCTTTACTCATCTACTCTCAGTAAAATTTAGTAATTTATTCTTCACAAATGATGGACATAGCCAGGAAGTTTCTATTTAATTAAATATGTGTAGCAATAAGTGACCTTAAAATTGCTGATAGACCCTATGAAGGCCAGTGCAGTTCCTATGGCATCTGGAAATGTTTCTATTCTGGTGCATGTCCTTGCAATTCAAATCCTGAAAAATGTGCAATGTTGCATTTTTTTTGAGATCACATCATATTGTGATCTTGATTGAAGAGGAACATAAGTGTGACATATCCCTTCAATTTGTAATTTAAAGAGGAGTTTGAGACAAGCCTGTGATGAAACCCAGTCTCTACTAAAAATACAAAAGTTAGGTGCCAGTCATGGCCATCACCTGTAATCCCAACTACTTGGGAGCTTGAGGTAGGAAAATTGCTTGAACCCAGGAGGCAGAGTTTGCAGTCAGCTGAGATTGTGTCATTACACTCCAGCCTGTGCAACGAGAACAAAACTCCATCTCAAAAAAAAAAAAATGCAGATCAAGTACTGATCTGGAGAACGCAGGATGTCTCCACTACTTCCTGAGGAACATCTGTAGTATAGGAAATCCACTGATGCCTTGATCTATTTCAAGGCTTCCTTGATGGCTGTTATCCACATTTCCTCCTTGACACACTTCCTGTGAATGACTGCGGTATCTCTCATTGAAGCTGAATCCAATTTTGAATTTTCCTTTTAAAATATATGTGCCCAAAATAGAGGCTGAATAAGGGCTTCTCTTTCTTAACATGGATTCTTAAAAAAAATATGCCTCTTATCTAGTTCCTGGTGTAATCTTATTAATGAGTAATGATAAATAGTCCTCTTTATGTTACCTATCCTATGTATTCCAAAATTCCATAAATTGCTGTAAAAACTGTTAGGTCTCATACTTCTACTTTTAATTGGGAAAGAAATGTCAAGAAATTATCTGGGCATTATGTGGATCTTCCTCTGGTCCTGTGAAAAAATCTGAAATAACTCATAAACCAAGCCCTGATTGGTATTTCTTCAGTAAAAAGTTGGCAAGATGCTGCCTTTAGCCTCATTTGGATATTACATAAGGTAAAACTGTGATCTTTTTCTCCTCTACTTTTAATAACATAAATATACCTAGAAATGCTTATATACAGGCTTAAAAATTTCAAAGTGAGCTTCAAAGTACATCAGATGATGTTTCATTGAAGAAGAATGAAACATCATCTTAAGAAGAATTCTCTTAACATTAATAAGAGAATTATTTTTTCTCTTATTAATGTTAGAGTATCTCATGCCCTTATTAATTATACACAGGTGTATAATGTTTTCCTTTTCCTCTGAATCAAATAGGTTTACCTTATATTTATCATGAGACTATGGATTGGAATCTATTTATGGACAAATAACTTGGGAACCTGTACAAAAATTGCTCTGATCTTGGTGTTATTCTAGAAAGGTCTTTATTTGAACCTATTTTATTCCCTTCTCTAAAAATACAAATATTCCCTAAAAAAAAAAAAACAAAGCTAACTTTTGGTTAGATTACTTCTTCTCTACATCTAAGAAGCATTTTGAGTGTTCAATCCTATATTGTGCTTCCTCATCCCCTATTCCTGGAAATCATGTCAAATCTTGAGTAAATATGTCTGTGGTCTCAGGCTTAATGGACTTTGTCATTATGAGTACCTGCAGAAACTCCTATCCTGAGAGAACCACAAGACTCTTGGAAAATTTCATTGAGGCAAAGATTTCATGTACTTTTAAGTTTTAGGAGGATACAGAAAGATTAAAAGAAAAAAAATTAAAAATATATGCCTCAAAATACCTACAATACCCCAAAATAAAGATTTTTAAATGAAATACAAAATAAACATAGAGAGAATATACAAAACCAAGAATTAGTACTTTCAACAAACTAGTAAAATTTACAAGCTCTGGCAAGCTTGATCAATACAAAAAACAAAAGCTCAAAAATACCAGAAATCAGTAATAGGACATAATTCAGATTAGGTAGAATTTAAAAGGTAATAAGGGGATTATTTTGAAATTTGTATGCTAATAAGTAATTGAAACATGAACTAAAATACAATTTACCAAAACTGACTCTAGAAGAAAAAGGTGAATAGTGCAATAATCTCAAAATAAATTGAATTGGTACTTTTTAAAATCTTCCCATTAAGAATACTAGATGATATTATTGAGAAGTTTTACTGATTATTTAAAATATTTCTATCTTACAAATTATTCCAGAAAGAAACTTGTATAACTTTTATTAAGAAGATAGCATAACTCTATTCCAGATCCTAACATAGACAAAATAAGGAAGAAATTTGATTAATGACCAGGAGACACTGCAGAGTTCTTCTGCCTGAAGTACATTCTTCACGATAAGTCTATTTGCATTCAAGGAACAAATATAAAGACCTTAGAATACATTTATTCCACTCAATTAAACATTATTGTTGTCATATATTTTAATTTAAGCTTATTTTTCTTAATCTACAAAGTACTTTGGATTTATACAATCCAAAACCTTTTTTACTCTTCATTCCTTCTTGCATTTCAGACCTTCTTTCTTGGGTCACATTTTTTTCTGATTAAAACACATTCTTTGGAGTTTTCTTTAGTGACAGTTGTTTGGTGACAAATTCTTTTAGCTGCTGCTTATCTAAAAGTGTCATTCTCCCTTTAATCTCGAAAAATAGTTCCAAATCGTTACTTTCTCTTACTATGTGTTCAGCAGAATAATGCTCCCATCCCAAAGTTGTCCACAACATAATGCCTGGAACCTGTTAATAGGTTACATTACATGGCAAAAGAAAACTTGTAGATATAATTAAGGCTATTGACCTTTGAAAAAGAGTATACTGGAGTATCCAGGTGGGTCCAATCTAACTAAAGGGGCCTTTCAAAGCAGAGAACTTCCGGTGCCTTCAGTCAGAGAGCTATAGCAGCAGCAAGAGAGATACAGCAAAAGAGAAGATCAAAAGATTTCAAGCATGAGAAGAATTTGAGGTTCTATTGCTGGCTTTAGATAGAGGACCAGAGAGAGGCCTCCAGGATCTAACAGCTAACCCTAAGCTGACAGCCAGCAAAGAAACAGGAACTTCAGTCTTACAGCTGCAAGGAACTGGATTATGCAATCAATCATATGAGCTCAAAAGTGAATTCTTCCCAGAGCCTTCCAATAAGAGCCCAGCTGAAATAAAGACAGCTTGATTTCAGCTTTGTAAAACTCAGAGCAGAGGAACCAGCTGAGCCCACCTGGACTTCTGACCCACAGAACTGTAAGACACTGCATTTGTGTGTTTTTAAGCTGAAAAACTTGTGATAATTTCTTATGACAACAATAGAAAACGAATGCACAATATGTTGACAGTATCATTTCGCTTACAGCTTTCACTTTTGCTGTTGAGGAACTAGCTGTTTTTCAATTATCATTTCTTTTAAAGTAATTTGGGTTTTTTCCTCTATCTTTAAGATCTTGTCATTGTCTTTGATGTTCTGCAGTTTCACTTTTATATGTATACATATGGATTTCTTTTTATTCTTCCTATGGGAAATCATCACAGTTTCTGAATGGGAAAGTGATGATGATGTCATTTACCAATGTTGGAAGTTTTTGAGCCCTTACATCTTCAGATATGATCTCTGGCAGATTCTCTCCTCCTCTTCAGAATTCCAGTTTCATACATATTAAACCGGTTGACTCTGAGTTCAATTTTTCTTAATCTTTCTTCCATATTGTCCACAAATACTCTCAAAGGTATACTTTTTCAGCTGTATCTTCCAGTTCATCAGTTCACTATTTAGCTGCTTCTAATCTGCTTAATAGTGAATTGATCCATTGAATTAAATAAATCTGTTGAATTCTCATTTCAATTATTTTATTTTTTATTAACTTTAGGAGTTCCATTGTTTCTATTTTAAATCTGTCTGGTCATTTTTAATACTTTTGCCCTTTGCAAATATTGTGATTCCTTTTGTATTTCTCTAAAAATTAAAACTTCTTATTTATATTCTGTATCTGACAAGTCAGATATCTATATTCAGTGTAGGCCTAGCTCTTCTGAATTTTTCCTTCTCTTTCTCAGAGTGCTATATTTTTCTTTGTTTCTCATTGGTATTTTGGACTGAGTTCATATGTCTTGCAGTTTTGTCTGTGGAAATGCTTTGAGGCCTTTGAAATTGTTTCTTCCATCGAGAATTGTGCTTTCATCTAATTAAAGAACCACTTTAATCAAAATTATTGGGCTGGAGATTGTGTGTGTGTGGGGGGGGGTGGGTGTGTGTGTGTGACCCACATAATCTAAATTCAGGCTGAAAACTCATGTGAGGGCCATCTTAGGGCACAAATTTCCCTCTCTGTTGGTGCTAAGAATCAAGACGGGCAGTTTTCCTTTCAGCCTCCTGGGTCAGATGGTTGGGTTTAATTCTAAGTCACCCTTATGAAGAACAAAATCCTTTAGAGCCAAAACGTTTTGTTGAGAGCTTCTCTTTGGACTCAGTATGTCCAGCAGTCTCTGGACTTTGTTTTCATCCAATAGTATTATGCAAGGCTGTTTTCCACCTGGTTTAGCAAATGCCTTTATGTTAAAAACCTGCCTCGTGGATTTTTACTTTCACTTGGTTCATGGCTTTTTATTTTCTTGCCAGCTCATTAGAGCATTTAATAAAATGTTGTATATAATTTATTCACTGTTTTCCATTGTTTTCAGTGAGTGTCAATCAGGGTACCTCATCTCTGTCTTATTATTAGAAATGGAAGATCCAGGCACCTTATCCTTCTGCAAGATAAATTCTCCAAGGGGAGGCCAAGCTGCTACTTGCCTATTTTACTCTCTCTGGGATACCTTCTGAGGAACTAGGACCCAGAAAGTGGTAGCCCTGTCTTGCACTCCAGTATCTTGATAGGCTTACTTGTCTGCTTCAGCCTGCTAGCTCTACTTGTTGCCTCCCTGAGGTCCAATCCCACTGTTCCCCCTATGCCAAATATCCTGCCACGCCTGCTCTGCAGTTCTGACCTTCCTCACCCCCCATTACATGAACCCAAATCAGTCCAGCCTGTTTCTCACACCTGTACATAAGTATAGAAGTAGATTAGACCTTAAGTCCCTGAGTGCACTTGATTTTTAATTGCTCATTTCTTTTCTGGGAGCTCTACCCCATTTTCCTACTAATTTTCCCATCTTTCCCAATATTCTCCAAAGTTCTGTATCTTAACTTGTGCTAGAACCAAGTGCTGAAAACAATAGGTTCCAGGATGCAGCATGTAGTGAGAAAGGAAGAAGCTCAAACTTTGGACCCCTGAATACCAAAGTTTACATTTCAGATCTTCTACTTGTCAATTACCACCTAACTTCCTTAAGTCTCTATTTCTCATTTGTAAATATATCTTTGTCAGATTGTATCACAGATAATAAAGTGTCTAATTCAAAATAGGTACTTAATTTAAGATGCCTGAAACAGTGAAACAAAGATTATGGAGTTTATATGGTCAATATTGTGTTACTTTATATTTTAAGGACTAGAATTTAAGTAATTACAGAAAGAATGAGAAGTCCTTGCTGTTACATATCAGCTCTGATATAAGAAACTGTTACAAAGTAGCAAAGGTCAAAATGGAACAGCAGCTAATGTGGGGTATAGAAAGGACTAAAAACCAGCACATAAAAACTAAAGCTAAAACTCAGAATATGACATAACAAGAAAACCTGGATCAGAACCAGGCACACACAGGAAGACACTAAAGGACAAGGAAGTTAAGAAACTTGTCCAGGGTCAAGCAAGCAACAGAACAGTCTGGCTCCAGAAGCCAAATTCTCATTCTCTTGATATGCTGCTTCTACAATGTGAGCAAACTTCTCTGCTCATTGTTTCCACTAATAAAGCCGTGCAAGAACCCACTATCAATTATTGGAGTTGATGCATCAGAGAAAACCTAATTTTCACCTTTGGCCCAGATATTCCCACCTTAAAGCTGGAAACCCTTGTGAGGCACTGGTGGATGCCACAGGCACCCAACATCTTTAGACCCTATATCATTTGTAGCTCCTATATATAATTATATTTAAGCTAACTAATAACAAACCATAAGAGGTGCTCCCAGAGCAAGTTGCCCTGACCTCAGTCACAAAACCTTTCTCATCCCATCATCATGTGTTCATGCATCTGGCTCCAGGACTAGATGTGCATCTCTCGAAGGCAGGGAAACTTTCCTATTCTTCCATGTATGTTTCCTAGGTCTATCATGTTCTCTATTACATCAATAAACACAATAACTATTTTAAATGTATGAATAATAAAAGCAATAAGTCACATTTTGTTTTGTACCTTCAAGGTACTAGGCTCTGTATTAGACACATCTTATATATTATTTCTAATTCTTACAACAACCATGTGAGCTTGATATTATTCTCATTTCATAAAGTACAGAGATATTAAATAATGGCCTCAGGTTAAATAGTGAGTGACTGACTGGGATGTACATCCAGATCTAGATGGCACCCATACCTGTATTCTGTCTTATGACATCAAAAAAAAGACAGTAAACATTTACAAAATGAATAAATTAGATCATTACATTTCATCATGAGAATGCTTCTCAACTGCATTCTGCTGTTGTCTTTTAAGGTACCTAGTCAAGAGCACAATAAATGGATGGACCCAGATGACATTTACAACCTGTGTCCAGGGAAAGCAGGACTGGTTGGAAATTGGCTTCTGGCATCAAATAAATAAATAAATAAAAATAGAGAGTGAACAGGGCTCAGGGTTTCGTGGATGCGGCTGGCCTCCCTCAGGCAGGCTGGGTTGGGTAAGATCCTCCACCACCCCGCAGCTGTTGGATCCATGCCTACCTTGGATATAAAACCAAAGTTCAGTCAATTTGGCCTCCTCTTTTTTTCCCACTGATCAGACTGACATTTCCACCTTCAGATTCTCTCTCACATCATAGTACAGAGATGTGGTTCAAGTCCAAACACCGGGATTGTGTAAACTTTCAATTGTTTAGGTACATAAAGAAAACATAAGTAAAATCTGGTAATTTTTCTTTTAATTCAGCAATTATAATCAGATGTAGACAATATTATGTAAGGGAAAGTGAGCATAGGCTTTGAAGTCAGACCAAACTGAATTCCTACCCTAAATCTTCTGCTTAATAGTTATGAAATTTGGAGAAAAAAAACTAATCTCTTTGAGAACAAGTTTTGCATCTGTAATATGGGCATAACAATATCTTAAAATGAAATTCAAATATGAATACAAACCGTCTTGCACATCAATAAATGCTTATCTCCTTCCCTCATTCTGTTTCTTCAACAGAAAGAATATGAGAACTAACTCTCATATTCTTCAGACAAAACGAATTAGACAAATCACATTCATAGACAAAAATGAATGAAAGTCGCTTAAAAATCCAATTTCAACTCAAATCATACAACTCTTAGAAGAGTACGGAGTGAAAGAGAAACATTTTATTATTTATGTCAAAATCAAATCAATTTCAGGAGAAAAGTATTTAACTATTATTATCTGTAGAATTGCTTTCGACATGCATACCACAACAAAATTCTTTTAATTTTTTTCAGATAGTTCTACTCTTAGAAAAATTTTCCCTGTCAAAGAAGCTGCAGCTATTAAGTAACAATTTGCTTTCTTGTCTTTATTAAGCAACAACAAAATTTAATGAGTACTAGAGCTTTTGACAGGATGTATCCGGCAAGCCGCATGTAAAGGAACTTGGTGTCTTCTTTATCTGAGCTTCCTCCACTGGGCTCCTGGATCTCAGTTTACATCTTCACAGACTTCCTCACAGATTCAGAGAACTGAGTTGTGTTGGAATTTGATTCTGGAATGATGTCCATGCAGTAACTTTGTATCTAGAGCCCAGTGGACCAGGAACTGACAAGATTTTCTTTCTTGCTACACAAAGAACAGAGCAGTTGCTGAGTTGAGCCCTGAAAACAAAGACCTTGTTTTGTATTGTTACCACATGGTCCCTTCCTCTCTCTTTGGAATTTGACAAGCAAATTGGCATTTGTGTTGCTGAGACTATCATAGAATAGTGATTGTTAATTATACCCTAGATGTCCTGCCTCATTCTGCCATGGATGTATTATGCTAAATGTGTGCAGTGAGCAAAAGATCTTAAATTTGATTTCAAGTTGCATATCTCAGCAGGCTGACAGACCCGCCCCAGGTCAGAGAGCCCCTAAAGGGGCCTATTGGGAGTTCTGCTCCAGAATTTCTGGTTCTAACTTACACCAGGAAGTATTCAAAGGGT